AAGAGTGTGAATTTAGAACAATGTAGTTTATAGCAGCTACTAGAAATACATTCCTTTATGATCAGTTTAGATATGCTGTTTTAAATAAAAAGCCAATTCCACACTTCTGCCAGAGCTGAAACAAGCTCTTGTAAAATTTATTTCTCCTAAAGCTTTTACTAATAACAAGATAACTGAAAATAACAAAATCAAAGGTAACTTATCTGGTCTAAGACATGCTAGGACAAAGATTAAATGTGCATTATTATAGTAGAATAATGTTTCTTAGTAGTAGATCTTGAGCATTGTTTGAAACCTATGGAAAGAAAATAATGTTACTCTTTTTTTGTAAAAGCATCATTAAAAAGAATCTACTTAATTCCCTCATTTCCGCTTACATTATATGTAAGTGTCATACTGGTACTGTACTTAGTAAGAGGCTTTTTGCATTCTTGGTTTTCTGTAGAAAATAAAGGCGTTTTTCTTGCTTAGTTTAGATTGCAGACAAGCACATTAAGTCATTAGGCCTCTCAGTTAAACTGGCACTGTTGAGTAATCTTTCTGTTCTCAAGAATAAGTAGTACAAACAGCTGTATGTCTTTCCATTAACTTGCTAAATAAAATATTAACACATTTTTCTCGTGCCTGCTATACTAATATTACACTGAACTAAAAGCATGTATCTCCTTAGCTCAGGGCCACAGCACTGTGACTCTAGTATGGTGGTCAAGGCCACCATTCATCACACTGATTACAGTGATCACATCAAGTGCATTCCTGTCCAGGTACCAAGAGTTTTACTGGGCACTTTGTTAAAATACACTTGGTTGTCCTTTAGTCAGAGTAGATTGAAGAAGCGCTAAGTGTACCAATGTGTGGTGTTATTGAGGTATTAACTGTAAGTGTACACTGTGCTCATGAGTGTGTGGCAAAATGACTGGCAGCTAGATGTTCTCTGTAAGCAAGCTATAGTGGGACCTCAACAGAAACTAAGATTTACAAGGCTTGGAAGACTTAACAGGGCTTAGCCTTACTGATGCTGACAAACAACTGAGTATAGGGGTAAATTGATGTTTAAGCATGAGATAACAGCCGTGAAACTGAAATGACCCTACAAAGTAGTCAAAAATGCTCAAGAGAATGGAAGGCAATACTATTTCAAACTAAGATTTTAAGTAAAACAGGAGCTATAGTAGTAAAAGTACTGTTTGTGGCTCTTCATAAAGCTGTTAGCGTAAGTGGAGGTGCCCAAATTGTGGCATGCAGAATATATGGTGCTTCTGCCCTTAAGGGGCAGTTAAAGGGAGACTTGCTGAGTAGTAGTTATGCAGCTGGAACAGCTTCTGTCTAGAGCCTTAAGGCACTGAGCAGCTAGCATAAAAGCTATGTTTTTGTCTTGATGTGCATGTCATTTGCATGCTGAGTGTTAAATTCAGTCACCCTTAAAGCTTCCCAGGCAAGTATAGCATGTTCTAGTGGTAAGCATTTCTGGGACATGCTGGACCTAGCTTACAAACAAATACATACAGCATTACTAGAAGTGTCAGACTCTGATAGAAGGTAGCTGTAAATGCCAGATGTACACAAGGTCTGGTCCATGCTTTTAGATTGCAGGAATTTCTGGCAAACTAACTTCAAGTAAAAACATCTCTGAGGAAGCTTGCTCGTGCTTTACTGCCAGTGACAATGCATGTGAAGTTATGTTTAGGAACCTTGGCTTTTAAATAGTAAAAGGGTGAATATAGATAAATACCTGCTTAGGTAGAACAAGGTGGATGTTTTCTATTGTTCCAGACATTCTTTTTCCATATCTATAGAGAGAATAAGCAACAATTTAGCAAACTCATGACTTTGAGACAAGTTTTTGCACTAACTTGGTTAATACTAAGTGTGCTGAAGTTGTATAAAATGCTAAGTGGCAAATGCACACAGATTATGGCTTTCAAGAATGAAATTTGGAGAGCTTTTACAAGTTGCCCCTGTTCAGATAGGTAAACACTTCAACCTCTGCCAGAGCAAAGCTATTTTTAAAGGTGTTTGCATCTGTGGAGTAAATAGTTTTGTTAGAGAACTTTAAAACAGAGTAATGTAGAAGTGAAGGCTAAACTTGCATTGACTGAGACTAATTTTCCCATGTGCTCAGCATCTACTGTCCTGGCTCTCTTTTAGCACTTCTGAAAAGCAGGCTGAGTAGTTCAGCATTGACTTTAAGGCAGTCCAACAGCAACCCTCTGTAAGGCAGTTTTGATCTGTACTACCTGTTAGTAGCTTGTCAATTGTGTCCACAACAAATTTTGCATCCTCCATATTGAAGCACATTGGGGGCTTGAATTTAAGCACATTTCTTCCTGGCCCATCTGTACTCAGTAGAATATATTCTTCCTTAAGTCTGGAAAGAGCAATAACAAAGAATTATGTTTACCTTTTGCGTGTAGTTCAGAGCAGCTTACAAGCATCAGCATGCAAGCTGTCCAGACAATGCCTGTCTGCACTGACTGGTTTCTTTTTCTGCCAGTTGGCTATATTTTAACAACTATTGAGGGGCGAGGTTACTTTGTAATGGTGCGCTTGCCTCATGTTGGGGAACTACATGCTTGTGCCTTGTACCTTGTTACCAGATATTCTGCCTCTGCTGTGGCTGGGGTCCTTTCTGCTTGATCTTTGATTAAGTCTACTCCAATGAATAAGCCAGAACCCCTTTAAAAGAAATAAAAATAGTCAATCTGTGACAGAGCAAGAAACTGCAAGTGAACTAAAAAACTGAGAAAGTTTTTGTGAGACCAAACCATTACTGCATGAGAATTCCCTGTTTGGCTAGTGACAGAAAAGGTATTGCTGTTTTGAAGAAATGTAGTAATACAGTACAGACTTTTATCTGCTCAGAATGGCAGTACAGGCTGTGATGTTAAGCATATTTTCCATCCAGCTCAATAATTCTGTTCTTTGTGCACTTGAAGTAAGAGTTCAAACAGGAAAATGAATTCCTTTAGCAGCTAATAAATCAATGAAGCAGTACTGGCCTAGAGTGGCAAAGTATATCAGACTTTTGATAAGTTCAAGTTTGTTTTAATTAATGTACAGCAGGCTGT